TTTTATCTTTTTGAGATAGGGTCTCTATGTAGTCCTGGGGCTCTCTAGGTGGATAGGATGGCCTTGAACTCATAGATCCTTCTGGCTCTGACTCCGAAGAGCTGGAATCAAAGGTGTGCGCAACTGTGCCTAGCTCATTTTGGCATCTTGAATGGCATGTGCTGGAACCTCCTACACAATTTCTGTGAGCCATGCGTACATCAGACACAGTGGCAGCTGATCGTTCAGCTGGAGGTGATTGTGAGTGTCAAGTACAGGACCCTACGCCCCACTTGAAAACCACTTTCCCTCAGAGCCAAGACGGAGGTTCACTCTCAGTATTCAAACCCAAGACAGTTAGTGTTTAGTGGGCCTGCCGGTTCTCATTTGCTCATCCCTGTGATGTCAGCTCCCACCAGAAAATAAAAACCTTAGAGAAAACATACTTCTACTTAATTTTTTTTAATATTTATTTGTTTATTATGTATACAGTATTCTTCCTGCGGGCCTCATTACAGATGGTTGTGAGCCACCATGTGGTTGCTGGGAATTGAACTCAGGACTTTTGGAAGAGCAGGCAATGCTCTTAACCACGAGCCATCTCTCCAGCCCCTTCTACTTAATGTTTTAAATTTTTTGTTGTTTGTTTTGTTTTTAATTATTTATTTATTATGTATACAACATTCTGCCTCCATATATGCCCACACACTAGAGGAACGCGCCAGATCTCATTACAGATGGTTGTGAGCCACCATGTGGTTGCTGGGAATTGAACTCAGGACCTCTGGAAGAGCAGCCAGTGCTCTTAACTGCTGAGCCATCTCTCAGCCTGTTTGTTTGTTTTTTGAGACAGGGTTTCTCTGTGTAGCTTTGGAGCCTGTCGTGGAACTTGCTCTTGTAGACCAGGCTGGTCTCGAACTCACAGAGATCCACCTGCCTCTGCCTCCTGAGTGCTGGAATTAAAGGCGTGCGCCACCCCTGCCCAGCTATATACTTTTACTTTTTTATTTATATTTTTGAGAGAGGGTTTCACTATGTAGACCAGGCTGGACTGGAACTCACAGAAATCTGCCTGCCTCTGGAACTCCTAAGTTCTAGGATTAAAGGTGTGCATCACTGTGCCTGGCCAAAACATTCTTTTAGAAAAAGATATGGCCAGCTTCCATTCTGTTCTCTACTGGCTGCTATGAAGAAATCATAACTAGGTAGTGACAGCTCTGTTTGTCCCTCCCTCAGGAACTTCCTGCTTCCAGAGGCCCAGCCTTGGGAAACTGTGGCATTTGTCCTGTCTTAGTTAGGGTTTCTATTGCTGTGAAGAGACACCATGACCATGGCAATTCTTATAAAAGAAAACATTTAATTGAGGTGGCAGCTTACAGTTCAGAGGTTCAGTCCATTATCATCATGGTGGGGAGCATGGCTGTGTACAGGCAGACAGGATGCTGGCTACATCTTGACCAGAAGGCAGTAGGAAGTGGACTGTCACTCTCGGCAGGATCTTGAGCTTATATGAGACCTCAAAGCCCACCTTAGCAATGACATACTTCCTCCAACAAGACACCTACTCTAAGTAGGCCACATCTCCTAATAGTACCATTCCCTTTGGGGGCCATTTTCTTTTCAATCCTAAACATTAACTCAGTGTCAGGTGTGGTGGCACCTGATGGCCTGGGCAACATAGTGAGACCCTGTCTCAAAAAGCAGCAACAGCAAAAAGATACACAGAATGGGAACTTACTGTTTGAAAAGTTTGGCATGGTAAATGACCAGAAGCTAAGCAGGGAAGGTTAAGTAGATGTGCCTCTGAGGTGTGAGGCCCTCATCTCATGGAGGGAAGAATGGAAACAGAACACTGCAGCAGAGGCAGCTGCTGCTAGGATACTGAAGGGGCCTTCCTCATGATGTCAGTGACAAAGTCAGAAGTCACTCATGGCACAGGGAGGGACGCACTGAAGATAAAGACTATCCTAGTTCCTAACGAACTGCTTTTGATAGCCCTGGGTGGTGGCACACACCTTTAATCCTAGCACTCGGGAAGCAAAGGCAGGTGTATTTTTGAGCTTAAGGCCAGTCTGGTTTACAGATCAAGTTTTAGGACAGCCAGCGCTACACAGAGAAACCCTGTCTCCAAAATCCAAAACAAGAAAAGAAAGAACTGTTTTGATGGTTCCCAAGAAACACTCCACTTCACCTCTTCCCAGGGTTCCCTGGAGTCTGGCTGTTAAGAGGGAGGTCTGTGTGAAATGTCAGCAGAGCTACAGAAGTGCCAAGCAAGAAGACAGTGCCCAGAAGGTACCCAGCATATTGTTCCTGAACTTGGTTCTTGTCTTCCTTCAGGAACTGCTAAAAAGAGTAAGATCCTTTCCAAGGAGGAGCAGAGAGTGGTTGCCTACCATGAGTCTGGCCATGCCTTGGTTGGTTGGCTGCTCGAGCACACAGAAGCTGTAATGAAGGTGGGTTGTGATGAAGCGGTGGTGGGTGATCTGAACTCTACAGTTGACCCATCTGCTCTGGGAAACACCACGTGTGTTTCTGTTATGTGAAAGAAATTTTATCACCAACTTGGCATGACTCTGGCTGTAGCCCTAGCAGGAACTAGGAGGGAGAGGCTGGAGTGGGTCCTAAACCTTAGCTACCAGGCATGAGGGGAAAGTTTCCTAGGTCCAAGTCCTCTGTCTCTGACCATTTGAGCCTCATGGCAGAGAGCTGAACTTGTTTCTGCTCAGAACGGCAAATGTTTCTTTGAGATAGTTTCCAGAAATCATGTAGACTATGCATAGAGACTCTTGAGGAATCAAGGGATATGGGACAAGAGATGTGGCATCCAGCTTACCCTCTAGGGAGGCCTGGGTAGCTCTGACAAATAGCAAGGAATCCATAGGGGCTGGTGACCCCACTGTTCCCACCCCAGCAGTTCAGGATGAGACAGTGCAGCAGACAGCAGACTGCCTGTATGTGCACACTTGCTCAGTTCCGCTGCTGTTTTCAGAGCTAACAGCATATTGTCTGCTCTCTTTGAGGTAGATTGGAACAGTCCCTCTGTTCCTGGGATTGACAGGTTAATGCCTACCTGCTACCCCATGGCATATTTGGCTGACACTGATCTGGGGACCAGGCCCAGCTTGAGGCAGGCGGGCACTAATGAATTCGGTAGCAAAATAAATACTGTTTGAAAACACCAAACAAATGCCAAACTCAAAATTTCTTTTTGCTCTCAAAATTGTCACTTGATTTTTATGGCTGCAAGCATGGCTGTGTTCTGTGAAGGAACCTGTGGCTGTCACTGTGATCCTGATGGATCGTGACCACAGTTTGTTCTTATTATAGACATTAAATCATCTTATAAGAAAATTTCTTGCCAAACATTGGTGGTGCGCGCATTTAATCCCAGCACTCAGGTAGCAGAGGCAGGTGGATCTCTGTGAGTTTGAGGCCAGCCTGGTTTACAGAGTGAGTTCAGGACAGTCAGGGCAATGCAAAGAATCCCTGTCTTGAAAGACAAAAAACAAAACGATTTTCTTTTTGCTGGGTGGTGGTGGCCTACCACACCTTTACAACCGGTCTCAAAAAACAAAAAAACAAAATTTTTTTTCTTTATATTATTTTATGTGTGGGTATTTTGGCTACATGTATGTCAGCATACCACATATGTGCCTAGTTCTCATGGAAGCCAATAGTGGCCATTGGATCCTCTTGAACCAGAGTTACAGGTGGTTGTGAGCCACCGTGTGGGTGCTGGGAATCAACCTCACAATCCTGTGACAGTCAGTGCTCTAACTACTGAGCCATCTCTCCAGCTCCCGTCTTTTTTCTTTCTGGCAGTTCTGGGGATCCAACCCAGGATGGCACATGGAAAACAAGCTCTTTTCTACTGATTGTAGTCATGGACCTGACTTTGAAAGTTAATGCTAGCTTCTGCCTGGGTCTCACAGGCAGCTGGGCCTGCATAGACCTGTCCCATACACTTCCTTGTCATATAACAGCTTCTTCTTGGCCTGCTGGGGAAGTAGTCCTACCTCTTCCTCAAATGTCTGGCATTGTAGGAGGAGAAGGCAAGGGTAGGATGGCCTCCCTTCCTTGGGTACATCCCAGAGTTTCCCACAGATCAGTGCCGACTGGCATGTGAGGTGAAGTTTGCCCTTACACCTTGGGACTGCTTCTAAGAGACCTGTCATGTTGACTTGCTATGCACACAGTGCTACTGATGAACACACCACACAGAAACTCCTGTTTCCACGAGCTGCTTCTGCAGCGTGAGGATTCTCTAAGAATATGACATATAGACTAGCCTGAGTGGCTACTTGGTGACCTGATGATGGTTTTAGGAGGCTCCTGTCTCCCTTTGAGCTCACTTGCTCCCTGCTCTGTTGGTGTTCTGCAGGTCTCCATAGCACCTCGAACAAACGCTGCTCTGGGCTTCTCTCAGATGCTCCCTCAGGACCAGTACCTCTTCACCAAGGAACAGCTGTTTGAGCGGATGTGCATGGCGCTAGGTGGTCGCGCGGCTGAGGCCATCTCATTCAGCAGGGTGACCTCTGGTGAGGAGCCAGCCTTAGGGTTTGTCTTGGTCAAAGTCCTCTGTCTAATGCCTGCTTCCTTCTGCTCAGTGCACTTGACGGTGGGACTGGTGGAAGATGTGTGTAGTGCAGATAGTCTGAGCCAGAGGAGATCTGGAATGAAGCAAAAGCCTTATTTTAAGATACTGTAACCCAGGCGATGATGGTGCCCGCCTTTAATCCCAGCACTCGGGTGGCAGAAGCAGGCAGATCTCTGTGAGTTAGAGGCCAGCCTGATCTACATAGCAAGTTCCAGGACAGCTAGGGCTGTTACACAGAGAAACCCTGTCTTGGAAAAACAAACAAACAAACAAAAAGATACTTATTTTAAAATTTTCATAAAAGACTGTAAATACATTTGCTTGGTTAATCGCTGGTCATGGCTACATAGAACTGGATATTAGAGCATTCGCTAGATATCCAGAAAGGTAATGGGGGTCACAGGGACATTGTGCCTCGAAAGTGACAGGCTTCCCTAGTACTGACCTGCCCATACACTTGAATGTGTCAGGCCAGTGTCCTGAGTAGTTAAGTTCTTTCCTTTAAGAAGCAGTAATGAGCCAGTAAAATGGCTCAGCAGGTAAAGGGGATTGCTGTCAAGTCTGCTGATTGGAGAGCAGTCCCTAGAATCTATGTTGTGAAATAAGGGAACCAACTCTGGCAAGTTCTTCTTGCATTTGCCTCTGTGTGTGCGCACACACATAAAAAAATGTAATTTAAAAAACAAAAAGGAAGTACTGTGTCCCAGTTAGTGTCTTGCTATGGAAGTTGTAAGCACAGTGTTGTGGGAATCTGGTGCTGCTTGGGCTGCAACAGCCTGAGGTCAGGTGCTCCTGTGCACGTACGCTCTTCAGAATACCTCTCTCTCTGGATTCCAGGGGCCCAGGACGACTTGAAGAAGGTCACCCGCATTGCCTACTCCATGGTGAAACAGTTTGGGATGGCACCTAGCATTGGGCCTGTCTCCTTTCCTGAGGCACAAGAGGGCCTCATGGGCATTGGACGGCGTCCCTTCAGCCAGGGCCTCCAGCAGCTGATGGACCATGTGAGTGGGCACAGGCCTCACTGCCCATGGGTGTCTCCCCTGCAAGAGCCTGTTAGCGCCCTCAAATGAGCATGTACTGAAGGCCGAATGTGGCTGGTTTTGTTCTGAACTCTGACCTGTTAAGTGTGTTCTTTTGGCTGAGGACCTAGATGGCTCCAAATAAAGCTAGATGTGGGACTGGGAAGAATGTCCAATGTAAGGATACCAAGTGGTAGAGCAGTGTATGATCCCTGTAACCCACAAGCTTGGCCAGCATGGCACCTGGGTCTGCTCAGGGCCAGTCGTGAGCAGCAGCTGTGGGTTGTCCAGTCGCTCTCTCGAGGGTGAGGGTGGCTGCTGTGTGTTGGGAAGGATGGGCCTGCTCCTGAGCCATGTTTTCTGCACCTTGGTGTTAGAGCTGGCTGTCAGTGAGTCTGTGGACTGTGCCCCACACCTCTCTCTTGACAGACTCATCTCTTCCTTTACAGGAAGCCAAACTGCTGGTGGCTAAGGCCTACAGACACACTGAGAAGGTGCTGCTGGACAACCTGGACAAGCTGCAGGCGGTGAGGGCATGTGGGCCAGGCATCCCCAAAGTGTCTCTGGAGCCTAGAAGTGTATGGGACAGTGTGGTCAATACTGACACCCCCTATTAGCTAGAATGTGTTTCCCCGTCTTCTCACCACAGTCTTGTCAAGCCAGTGCATTCAAGAGAGTTTCTTCTGCCCTCGTGCACAGGTTATGGAGCACGAGCAGTAATCAACATTGAATTGTAGGGGGTTTCCAGCACTTAAACTTTTTCTCCAGGGGGAAAAAATAGCTATTTTTCAATTTATTTTTTAATTATGTGTGTGTGTCTGTGTAGGTGTGTAAGTATCTGCACCTGAGTGCAAGTGACCACAGAGGCCAGAGGAAGGAGCTGGAACTACAGGTGCTTGCGAGCCACCTGAGCAGCGTCTGGGAAAGGAGTTTGGCTCCTCTGCAAGAGTAGCATATGCTTTTCTTCTCCACCTTCTTCTTTCGTGGACTCTCTGTTTTTGAGACAGGGTCTCTATGTAGCCCTGGCTATCCTAACTTACTGTGTAGACCAGGCTGGTCTCAGACTCTCAGAGCTCTCCATGCCTCTGCCTCCCATGTGTTAGAATTAAGGTGTGTGCCACTATACATATGCTCTTTACCACCAAGACATCTCTCCAGCCCTCCCTCAAATTTTTTCAAAGATCTTCTTTTCATTTTAGAATAGATTTAGATTGAGAAAAACTACACCTATATAGTACAGTATTCCCTAGTCGTCAGGTGTGTGCCCCGCAGTCACCATCTCCTCAGTACCGGGCATCCTCACCCCAGCACTGACGTAAGAACTGAGCCTTAGTGGATGCACACTGCTCACCTTCCCAGCGGCCCGGATCCCACCGGACACGCAGTCACTACATCTTACACTCCTCCTTCCTGTGACAGTCTCTCAAACCTCTGTCCTAAGGACAGCACAGAACTGCGGAATATTCTGTGGGATTGTCTGGTATTGAGGTGTGGGCAGTCAATTTTGAAAGGGAAGAAGGCTCCAGAGGTGAAGACACTGTGTCCCTAGGTTATGATGACTTCTACCCAGAAGGCAGTGGAAGTGATAGCTCTTGGTGCCACATGAAGACAGACAAGAGTTGGTGTGGGTAGTTATTTCTAGCCTTTTACTTCCTTGAAATGAGGCACCAGAGCCAAGCATTGTTGCTGCAGGCTTGTTGGTACAGGCCTGTCACCCCAGCTCTCTAGAGGCAGAAGCACGAGGATAGTTGAGTTCATGACCAGCGTAGCCTACAGAGTAACATCTTGCTTCCAAAAATTAAAAAAAAAAAAAAAAATCTTAAAAAATAAAAAAGCCCGGCATAGTGGCACACACCTTTAATCCCAACACTCAGGAGCTACGTAGAGGCAGGCAGATCTGAGTTCAAGTCCAACCTGGTCTACAAAGCAAGTTCCAGAACAGCCAGAGTTGTTACACCAAAAAACCCTGTTTCAAAAAAAAAAAAAAAAAAAAAAACAACTGTTTCAGACCCTCAGAGTATTGGTCCTATGGTAGTGCAGTCTCTGCTGAAGTAACCTCTGATTAGTAAGAAGCCAGTGTTACTGTACAGAAGTTCAGCTTACTGTACTGGAGGGGTAGGGGTTGGAAAGACTGCCAATGGAGTACCCACTGACTGCAGAATGGAGCTGCCTCTATTTGAGCTGAACTACAGCAAATAGATTTTAGTCTAGTGACAGATGAGAGCAAAGGGGAACTGTGCCTCTTCCAGTACAGCTGCAGACATCACCCCGGGGCCTAGATGTCTAAAGCCCAGCATCACCAAAAACAAAGGGAAAATGTGGAAGAGTTTTCTTTTAAATATTGGGTGGTTTTTTAGATTTACTTGTTTAATATCTGTGCATGTACCTGAGTGTATATATGTGCACCACAAATGTGCAGGAACCTGTGAAGGTCAGAAGAGGTCGTTGCTCCCTTGGAATTAAAGTTATAGGCATTGAAAGCTGCCATATAGGTACTGGGAACCAAACCCAGGTCCTCTGTATGAGCAGCAAGCACCACCTTTAGCCTTTGAGTTGGAAGAGTTTTGTTTTGTTTTTGTTGTTGAAATAGAGTCTCACTATGTAGCCCTAGCTGACCTGGAACTACGGAGACCTCAAACTCATAAACCTGCCTTTCCCTTTGGCTCTAGTGTGCTAGGGTTAAAGAAGTGTTCCACCATACCCAGCGCTTGGGAAAAGTTTCTTAACCAGCAAAATGTAGCAGGATATGGCCACAGACACAGGACCTTTAGGATAAAAATATTTTCTGGGCCAGGCATGATAGCATATGCTTGTAATCCTGGCATTCAAGAACTTGAGACAAATATAGCAAGCTTGAAGTCAGCCTGAGTTTATATATATGTTCTGTCTGGGAATATAATAATGATGATGGTGAAGATGATGATGATGTTCATGTTCGACTGTATCCAGAGGAGCAGAAATCCCTCCCCAGTTGTGTCAGTTGGTGCCTAGCACCACAGATTCCAAGCATGGGGCTCTGTATTTAGCTCCCCCGCCTGCCTCTCCCAGACACACATACCTTGTTTGGTGAAGGAAATTGCACTTGCCAGAAATAAGCAGAGGTTTTGAAAGGAAATAGAAAAATTAATGAGGCTGGCAGCTGACAGCTCACTTTTAGGGTAAAGACAGGGAGCAATTCTTTGCCTTAACTGCCTTTGCGCCTGTCTCTCTCTGGGAAGCCGACCTTTCGGAGGCACCCTGCTCACAGATTAGCCCTCCTGCTCTCCTAGGACAGAGACGGTCTGTGGGATGGCTCTCATCTCTGACGTCTGCCCTCCAAGGCTCTTGTCTTTGTCCAGGGCACTCACACTGCCGTGCTTGTTCTTTCTAGCTGGCGAATGCCCTTCTAGAAAAGGAAGTGATAAACTATGAGGACATTGAGGCCCTCATTGGCCCACCACCCCACGGGCCAAAGAAAATGATCGCACCACAGAAATGGATTGATGCTGAAAAGGAGAAACAAGCCTCGGGGGAGGAGGAGGGTCCGGCTCCCTAGCCCCCACCTCCAAGGCCCAGCTCCACTTTCTTCGACTGCACCTGCAGTTAATTCAGAACTTGTTGGCCAGCTGCCATCAGCCTCTGAGAGTCTTCTCACCTGAAACTTGAATCTCAGCCTCTGTCGGCTCTCTGGTTTCTCATGAAGACTTCTGATATCTATTTATTGATTCAGGATTAGTAAATCGTTGGCAGAGACAACTGACCTTCCATGTGTATTGCTTTCCTTGTGGGGTGTGTGCATGTTTGAGTTGAGTCCCTGGGCTTCAGGTGCTGTCTCCATGTGTGGCTCTGTAGATCTGAAGGTGACCCACCAGTTGGACTGAATGATCCCGTTTGTGTCCTGGGTGCCCCTAGAATGCTAATAGGATCCGAGATGAAAGATCCTCTGAGCTGACTGTCCACATCACAGTGCACACTCATTGGGTGTGGGGGTTGGGAACAGACACTGGTGGAAGATGCAGATACTGCCACCTACTGCCCTGTGCACCAGCAAATGGAGTCTCTCCTGCCGGGTCCTTCTTATGTAGAGTGCCTTAGCTTCCACCACCAAAATTGATACCTGTCCCATTTTGTGGTAGAAAATCGACATTTGAGCTGTGCAGCCATGCGTCTTGTTTCCCTTCATACCTTGAGCCCTTCAGTGGCAAGACAAGCCCTTTGTGTAGGATCTGAACTCAAACCATGTGGGGTGAGCCACAGGCGCTTGCTGGCTCATCGTTCCTGCCCGTGGCGCCTTCACCCTTCCTGTGCAGGGGCATTTGGAGCATGGGTTACAGTAACTTCCTGTCAGAGCAAATTGTTACTGCCCAGCACTCTGCACTGAGGAAGCTGCTGAACGGTAGGAAGCAGTAGCAGGACCAGCAGCAGGATTTGGGGTGGCTCAAGGGGTTTGTGAGAACATTTTAAGTTTGATCTGAGCTCTGGTTCTTACCGAAGAGTGCATAATTAGGTTTCCTGTTTCTCTAAGCGGTGTCTTAGGCATGAGAACCTGAGTTCCATCACTGGACTCAAAGTCCTCCGACGAGTCCATGCCAGGGCACACAAATGCCCAGATCCATAATCACAAATAAGTATGCCAGGCTTGGAGGTACGTGGAGGAAGATACAGGCAGATTTTGATTAATTTTGAGCCCAGTCTAGAAACCTACAGCGTTCATACCAATCAGAACTACGTAGTGAGACCCTATCTCTAAAATAAAATGAATAATAGCCGGGCGATGGTGATGCACGCCTTTACCACCAAAAAAAAAAAAAAAAAAAAAGAA